TAGTTATTTGCATACCCTTATTCGAATAAAAGTCACATTGTCTCTGCAAAAACAAGCACACACATGCATCCTCTTTGGAAGTTAGATACAAGAAGGAAAAGTGTAGAGCGCTTTTTAGGTCACCTTGAAAGTCACTTGGATGATGTCATAGCTAGTCTGTCTTCATGCCCCTCATTTCTGTGAGGCTAACTTTACAACTTACTATCACAGAGTTGTATGCAGTATTCTCTTAGAAACAGGGACTCTGGCCAGTGTTGAGCCACTGGTGGCTTCGATTAAGTGGGTAGCAGTGGAAGTGATGAGAACTAAACAGATTTTGAAAATATCTTAACAGTAGAGCCTAGAGGATTTACATAAGCCATGTACTTTCATCAGAAACATTACAGGCACATTCTCAAGCAAGTACATCTCTTGCTAAGAATCACTGCCCTGGTTTCAAGTTCTATGAAAACAGGGTCCATTTTCTTCCTATCTGTATATGCCCATTACACTCAGCACAGTGCTTTAGAAATTTGCTGATAATTCATGTGGATGTCTGAAATTAATTACAATAGATTTCTGGTTTCAAATCTGACATGAGATTGTAATAAATTAGTCTATATTTTAAGTCTTATTCCAAAATTTCTGGTAGAAGTTACTTACAAAACACATGGGGACATGTTAGATATAAAATTAACGTTTGATGTAGAATTGTTTATTTGTGTTCCTCATGCTACAACACAACCTTCAAAGTCAGCCAAGTATGTAACATGAATATGCGTCCTCAAAACATCAACTTAGATAACCCATAGCCAGAGGTTCTCAACTTCTACAATGCAACTTCAACACTCAAAAGAGCACAATATGTTTCAAATACCATCTCAATGCAAATTTAAGAAAAGGCAAAGCAAACTGTATTATCAGACTATCAAAACTCAGTGAGATTCTGTAATTTAATATACCTACTTCTCAACTCTCTAAATTTCTCCACACTGAGGAGAGTTGTTAAATGCCTGAATTCTACTCCAAGCCAATTAAATCACAACAATTAAACCAGAATCTCTGTGGGGCATCTTGACTCAGTTATTGCTTTCTAACATCTTTTACTTCTTGGCCTTTTGGAATGTTCAAAAATTAGTAATATTACAATGTGTGTTATGATCATAATATAACAGTTAAGAAAACACATAAAATGAAGGCCTAGAAAGATCTTTGTTACTCATCTAGAATTATTTGGTATAACAGTATTTTCCAACAGAGGAAGACTATTGGATTTCAGGCATAAAACAACGCTGAAAAAATTTCAAGCCATCACAGGGAAAGAAAGATAACTTCTGACTCTGGTTTCCTGTGTTTCAGGCCAGGAAGAGCAAGGGAAGAAAAAGATTTGTCCATAGGAACCATTTCTAAAATCTCTAAAGAACAATTTCATTTGAACCCATTAATTTCCTTTTCATGCAAAATTTCAAAGATAAAGCAATATAAAATATGGGGCCAAAGAAAAGGGAGAAGGTCTTCAAGGAAAATCTGTCTCTTTAAGTTTTCATTGGTACAACAGTCCATCAGCTTGGAGCTATTCAAAGAGGAATCATGAAAATGAGTTTCAGTGGTGTATATATATGTGTGTGTGTGCTACAGCAAAGGCTGGTTGTAGCAAAAATTCATTTCATACTGTATGATATGGGCGGGGCAAGGTGGCTTACGCCTGTAATCCCAGCACTTTGGGAGGCCGAGGTGGGGTGATCACCCTGAGGTCAGGAGAGACCAGCCTGGCCAACATGTCAAAACCCTGTCTCTCCTAAAAATACAAAAATTAGCCAGGTGTGGTGGCACACACCTGTAATCTCAGCTACTTCGAAGGCTGAAGCAGGAGAACTGCTTGAACCTGGAAGGCAGAGGTTGCAGATCAGGCCACCACCCTCCATCCTGGGTGGCAAAGCCAGACTCAAAAACAAAACAAAACAAGACACGCAGAACAAAACTGCATGATATATAATTGTGACATTATATGGGAATGCTTCTGTCAAAATATAGATTCAATCCAACATCACGCCAACTTTTATATTAATTTCAGTCCCTAAGTTAAGTCTTCATAACCAAAAACATGAGAATAATCTTATAGCTATCTACTAAGGTAAGAAACTGTAAATAAATTCCCCAATATTGCTTTGAAAATAAATTCCTTGGTTGTTAAGAGAAATTCCATCTTCCAACTCCATCCAAATGTATTATTTAACTGGTGTTCGTCAGTCATCATCTACTGTTGGCTTGATTGTCACTCCTCTTCTTATCTGACCCCAACCAATTAAACTGCAAAATGAAAATAAAAGAAATCATAAATCTTACATCCATTTCATTGTCATTACCACACAATTGTATGATAAATTTTACCTGCTTATCTTCTAAATTTAAATTTGTTCCCAAAGCCTGCTCCTCCATGAAGAAAGCCCATACTATATTCTTAGATTATTTTTGTTGTTGTTGTTTTTTGAGACAGAGTCTCACTCTGTCACCCAATCTGGAGTGTGGTGGCATGATCTCGGCTTAATGCAACCTCCAGCTCCTGGGTTCAAACGATTCTCGTGCCTCAGCCTCCCGAGTAGCTGGGACTACAGGCATGCATCACCATGCCAGGCTAATTTTTGGGTATTTTTAGTAAAGACAGAGTTTCACCATGTTGACCAGGCTGGTCTCAAACTCCCGGCCTCAAGTGTTCCGCCCGCCTTGGCCTCACAAAGTGCTGGGCTTACAGACATGAGCCACCGTGCCCAGCCTGAAAGTTTAGTGTTTAAATCTATTTTTAAATACACTGGAAGTCATATGTTTGTAAT